GTTTTTCATGGCAAGGTAGAAGAGCAAAGGACTGCCATTGTGTGTGTTTTCTACAAACAGATATTAAGAGTTCTTTGAATCTTGAGACTGTTGCAACACTCAGCTTTGAATACCCGGGGTTACATTTTGTTTGAAAACTAGCCGTGATTTGTAATTAATAGACCGGACAAAAGAAAGGAAACTACCACTGTTGGGAATGAGTGATAAATAAGTCTCTGTAGTCTCTGCACAATGCATTGTTACTGTGAGTCCTGATCAAGAGGATCCTCTACTAGCATACAAGTTTACACTGCAGTGTTTTCATTATGGGCATGACTGAATTCAACTGCTACTGGAAGTTGCTGGAATACACTGCCAGAGCTGTGAGGCTTAGTTACTGCCAGGTACAGGATCCAAAGCAGAGCCACGAAAACTGAAATTCCTGAGTGCGTTTTACTGATGTGTCTTCAGGCCAAGGAAGATCAGAGCAATGGTGAGACAGAGATTTGAGCTCTTCAGGGCAAACAAACTAGGCACATTGAATCAGCTGCTGCTGAAGTAGCAAGGATTTCCATAGGAAATCCTGTGTGGATTCCTTAGAATTTTACTTGTTAAATTGCCCAAAATGCAGCTGGTCATGTGGCTAGCTACCTTTTGTAATCTGTAGAGAATTATTAGATTTGTGTTAGAAATCAGCCAGACCATTTTACCTTCAAAAGAGAAAACAATCTAATTTCAGATTTGTATCCAGCAGAGTCCGAAAATGGATTTTTATTATATTGCAAATACACTCAGTGCTAAACAGAATATTCAGGGACATGTATAGTTTCAAAATAGCAAATCAGCTAAATGACTTTTCAACCAGTTCTTTTATTCCTTGTTTTGGTTTGATTGCAGTAACATATCCAGTTTGGGGCATGTGGCGTCTCATTCCTATATACAGAGTAAGGCAAGCCTCAAGTAATGTTTAAAGCAAATCTGATCTTTATTCAGTATATATATTAATACCAAGGCAGTAAAGCAGAGGGCAAATGAAAAACTTTTCTGCTCATTGTGAGGATATTTTCCCCCTTCAGTCATTAATAAATGACTTTATGTGACAAATAGAAACTTTCCTCATTATGATTTGAAATAAAAAAGAGACCATAAAACACCTCTGTCAGACTAATGGAGCAGAACTATTTATATCCTTAACTTCTGTTACAAAAATCTCTATAATGTAACATTTATTACAAGGAAATGAGCAACAAAACAAGACCTTTAAGCACAGGAATTACTTATTACTGATCAAATGACACTGCAGTAGTGCTAATTATTATGACGCCAGTGAACTATAAGGTATAATGTGTAATTGGCAAGGCGTTCCTTTCAAATTAAAGTCTAGCAAAGCATACCATTGCTAGACTTTCCTCTGATTCATATAAATTATCATAATCTAATGTTCTGTATCTATTCAGCCTGGTAAGTTTTTTTTTTCAAAGGAATGCTGGAAAATGTGATTCAGAGTAGCTTACTATCAGTGTGTTTTCTATTAAGTAAGTGTGGCAGTGGGTGTCTGTGTGTGTGTGTGTGTGTGTGTGTGTGTGTGAGACCACTATCCACTTCTAAGCCCCCAAGTTACAGAAATGAGTAGCTTTATGAGACATTTTCAAGAATGGTAGATATTTGACTTAAACTCAAGTAATGCCATCCTGGGAGGATTTGGGGGCAGATGCCTGGGCCCAGTTTTACAGAATAACCTGGAAGCCACCTAGCTTTCCATTTTAAAAGTAATTTATTATTTATTAACAACAACTATAGGATATTCCAATCCATATAGACTCTGGAAGGTGAACAAGAATTCTAAAATGCAATTATTAAGACCAAACCATAACAACAACAACCAACTTCTATAATAGTTGCCCACTAAGGGCCAAAAGCCTGCTGGAATAGTACAGTTTTAGTCTGTTGTTTCATAGAGTGGGCAACCCTATGAGAAAGCCTGTTGCCTGATCTATACCCCATGTACCTCACCAGGAGGGGGGAATCCTGAACAGGCCCTCTGGAAAAGTCTGAACCAAGCTAAGGTATTGCCTGCTCTGTGTTACAACCTAGTACTATGCCATAAATGGCTTTAAAGATAACAACAAGCAATTGAATTGGGCCTGAAGGTTAAGAGTAACCAATATGACCAATTCAAAATCTATGTTATTCTATATTGATGGGCTTGCCTTGTCAGCAATCTTGCCACTGCATTTTGCACCAGCTGCAACTTCTGTATCATCTCCAAAGGCAGGCCATGTAGAACAGTCTGTGCAGGTGGGGATCAGAGTTCCTGTTGTCACGATATCCTGTCTGAAGTAACTAGGACACCAGGTGATTCTATGCAAAGCCTCCTTTGGCCATGGCTTCCTCCTGCTGTTTTGGCAGGAGTTAACAGTCCAAGAGGATGCACAAATCACACTCTTTTAGGGGGATATGAATCTTCAGCTTGGCTCAGGATGGCAATACATAACTGGGTACTATCAACATACTGACAACACTTCACTGCAAACCAATGGACAACTTCTTGCTAAAGTTCATGTAGATGTTAAATAACATGAGGGTGAGGACTGAGCCCTGGGGAACTACACATTGGAACTTTCAGGAGCTCAATCACTGCTCCATGATCATCGACCGAAACTCCCTGCCTAGATAGGAGTGGAACCATGGCAAGATAGTGTCCCAATTCCCAACTGCTGCAGATGGTTTAGAAGGACATCTGGGTTGATGATATCAAATGTAATACACATGGTCACCTAAAGAAAATGAGCCCCATATCCAAAATTACTAAGTCAACTATTGGCCCTTGTCATCAATCAAAATATTCACCTATCTGAACCAGGGGACCATGACTTCTAGTTAGACAGAAAGGAGTATTTAATTACTGGCTGAAGATCCTATCTATGGACTCAGAAAGATTACCCAAGCTTTGCTTTGAAGAGCAGATGCACAATAAGCCTTCTCGTGCTTGGGCAGCCCGACTTATCAATACTATCTCCCAATATGGATTCTCAATCCATTTCACAGTTCAATCAGACTTGAAGGCCAAGAAAAGCTTTAAACAAAGGGTTTGGGGCATGGCAGCCCAAGAGGATATAGCATCCCTTAGACATCTCAAGTCCTTGAAGTGGCTAGCCCAACATAAATTAGTCTTTCAACTAAAAAAATATTTAACAACTCCCTTACCCCAATATTTTAGAAGAGCTTTTACTAGAGCTCGTTTCAATCAATTAGACACCATGGTAAGATTTGAGAGATTTCAAGGAGCTGCATATGAAGAAAGGCTATGTATTTGCGGCACCCCAGTTGTTGAAGATACCACACACATCTTATTTGATTGCAAATTGTACTTGGTAGAAAGGACTGACCACTTAGATTCATATTTAAAAAATAAAAAACACTGGAGCAGCCGGCAGAAACTTTTCTTTTTTTTACAGGGTAAGAACCAGCTCATTACCAGCAAGACTGCACTCTTCATATCAAAGGCAATTTCAAAGAGGACAGATTATGTAGACCTGATTGGTGTTGACTGTAGGGGTGACAGTTTAATATGAATTTGTATTATAGTTTTACTTTACTAGTTTTTATTTGTATGTTTACAATGGCTTTTTATTTATTTTATTTTCTTTTATACTTGATATTATCAATAGACTAAATCAATAAAGTTGGTTGGTTGATTGATTGAGACAGAAAACCAACTGAATAACCTTGGGCCAGTTACTCTCTCTCAGGCCTAGGAAAGAGGCAAGGGCAACCAGTTCTGAAAATCCTTGCCAAGAAAACTGCAGGGACTGGTCCAGGCAGTCACCAGGAGTCAACGCTGACTCAAAGGCACCAAAAAAAAAAAAACATGGACAAAGATGGGCAATCCATCCTGAAATCAAATATTTTACATATGTCTCTGGAAGGTGCATGGAAACTGTGCAGGAATGTTGCTATACAATGGGACAGCTCCTAATCATTCCAGCAATGCTCATGTTGGATGTTTTCCAAATTGTACCTTTTGCCTTTGTAATAGTGTCAGTAAAGAAACATCCTTTTAAAATGTTTAATTCTGCTGATTCTGTAGTGACTTGTATCATAACTGAGCGCTAAGTACTGTATTTCCAAATACTTTTACGTTCTTGACCACAGCCAACTGTTGGTTGTTACTTTAACTCCCCACCATCAATATCATCTTCTTTTTGAAATGAAACTAATAAAAAGTAGGATGTCTTTTACTTACTATTCAACTTCTGTTTTGCTAGTATGACCTGGGTGAGAATACCAGGCTTATATACTGCAACTTACTCAGGTATTTTAGCGGAAGGCCATTCAGTGACCCTACCATAAAGCCCAGAGATTGTGATCTCTCAGAGGTCACGTGTACAGGCCCAACCCTATTTTCCTTCATTGCAGGATCTGTCATTGAGTGCTAGGGTCATAACGTCTTTAGGTAATAAGGCCAATATATCTTGGATGAAAACAGTTCAATTAGTTATGTTGAAATAACCATCATTGACATGGCATTTTTCACCTAGGGATGTTAAGGGTAAAAAAAACAGTGCTGTCTCCTATTTTTGGAATCCCTGTGTTTTCCAAGCTAGTCTTCTCTATTTTGAATCACGGTTTTCATGAAATTTTCAGTAAGAATAAATGGGTTGATTTTTTAATATGTTTAAATATAATGTAAATAATTTATATTTTCATGCAAATACTCTCCTTTCTGGGGCCCAAAATTTGGTAATGAAGCAATTATTCAATTCTCATCTAAGGAATACTTTCAGAATCTTACTTATTTAGAGGCAAACAAATCATATTTATTGTGTTCCTCATACACTTCTAGCTAAAGCATGCATATATCTTGCATATTTTACATGAAATATGTATACATTAAAATAATTCAGTATATAATATAATGCTCCAAGCAGAAAAATGAAGCCCTTAAGAGATTGTTAATTTCTTCCCAACTTTTTTTTTCAAATGCCTTATATCATACTTTTGTATTCTGTTTTGTTTAGGTCAGTGGAACAATGTATAATACAGGGAGGCATGTTTCTCTACGACTGGATAAAGAACATTTGGTGAACATCTCCGGAGGGCCCATGACATACAGTCACCGATTGGAAGAAATACGGTTACACTTTGGCGGTGAAGACAGCCAGGGATCAGAACATCTGTTGAACGGACAAGCTTTTTCTGGGGAGGTACGTCAATGCACTTAAAATCCTGGAAACAAAAGTTAAAATATGAGGATGCCCATGAGAGGGGACTGGTTTATATTATTGGTTTCAGAAATGGTTTGGAATCCTACATTTCATGAAAGGCAAATCCATAAGTCTGTAGTTAGAAAATGAACATTCTGCAGTTGGACTACACCAAGCACATCTGAGTATATTTGCTTAATCTGTGTACTTTATTTTGCAGAAAATAACTTGGATTTAGGGGAAGGAATTTGCATTACTGGCAATAGAGATATACTTTGAACTCTGTGAAACAGTAATATAGAGATAGGATAGTAGCTTTGTGAACCAGTAATATAGAAGTAGTTATTTTCAAAGTGAGATCCAGGGAACCAGAACATTTCCTGGAAACCTATGAGAAGTTGCTCAGTAAGAAATTAAGTAATGGTAGTTTGGCAGGCAAGCTTTTAAGACTGCTTTTCTTCTACTACTAATGCATCCTTGCAATTTCATAAATAAAATACATGCAGTACATACTTGTAGGGTAATAGGCATTACTATCCCTCATCATCAGCTGAGGAGTATGTAACAGTTCTGCAGAATACAGAGCATAAATTGAATGTGTGCTGTTAGTACACCACAGATTCCAAGAGTTCTTTGATAAACGAGTTGCTTTGGGAAGATTTTCTGAGAGTTGGCATTTGAAAATCACTGAAGCAGAGAGCCAAAGGTAGGGCCTTTATAATTTTAGGCAGCTTTCAGCAAGTGCCCTATTAAAGATATCTTGCAGTATTTACAAACGTGATAGGTTTCCCTATAGATTTTCCAGTTTTACTTCACAAATGAAATGAAATGAAATGAAATGAAATGAAATGAAATGAAGTAGGAACATTTCTTCTCCAAGCCCCAGAGAAAGGAATAGGATTTGTACTCAAAATGGAGTTTTCCATTTGGGACACTGCTGCAGCTTGTCCAGATTAGGCCATTGAGTGAATTCTGAAACCAAAGCTTTGAAGACATGAGAGCAGTTCTGCCTCGAGTTCCAAGGGTTACCCAGAAGCCATGAGAAATACAACGGCCTGTCTTAAAGAAAGGGTCAGGGCATAAGATAGAATAAATCTGAGGGGGAAGCTGTAAAACAAATTATCAGGGAGAGGTAAATCTTTAATTTGGGTCAACAGGAAGAAGAATTAAAAAAAACAGGAAGCGGAAGATTATTATTATCTTGTTATCCTAATAACAAGAACGCACACTGACACTGATCTTGAAGTAGAGTGACAAGGACCAAGTAGGTGGAATCAAACAAATGGACATCAGCCACATCATGGTAAACCATGATTTCTTTAACCACATTTTATTGAATAAACCACATGGCTGAGTTTGCACAACATGCTAAGATAAAAACCATAAGTTTAGAAACCCTAGTTGCAAGGATCATATAATGCACTATGCCAAAGCCAAAGAAATAGTTTAATGCAATGTGCAAATACAACCAAGGTCTAGATAATTAAACCGAATATATTTCCAGAACCTTTCGAAAGATGGTTTTGTATATCAGATATTGATGGAAAACCAAAGGAGATTGCTTGATCATTGTTATTCTACATTAGTCTTAAAAATGGTACTCTAGACACATTTTATAATTCAGTAGAATGGATAGTCTGTTACAGTTTACATTGTTAACACATAACTAAAACACTGTTAAAATATATCAATAAAAAGATGTAACTCATACCCAACTAGCAGAAAGTACCAAATGGCTATCCAAATAAAAATACGTTTGCTTGTTGCTAGAGCAGCTGAGACCAAGAAAGCCCTTGCTGCATTTCCTTCCAAACATATCTTTGAGGGTTGCAGGCCAAGGAAATGGCTTTGCCTGCTGGTTTTATAGCCTGGATGGGCTTGTGTGGCAGAATGCAGTTCCTCACTGCGCTGAGAGATAATTTACAGATATTTTTGAGAACATGCTGAGGTTTTTTGGAAACTATTAAATCTATACATTGAAAGCTAAAGTTCATACTGCATCCATAATTGAAAAGATAAGTCATTAGCAATGGCATGATCTCTCAGGCTAAGGGCAAAACGTAGAAAAAGGGCAAGAGGCCATTCTACTTCTCGGTATAAATATATGTTTTAGATAACTTTAGATTGGCATTTCTCGTACATACATGCTGCATCATAACGTATTACTATAAAGAAACTCATCCTGTTGCAAATGTTTATAAAAGACTCCTTGAATATCCTATTGTTATTCTTTCTGTAACACTAAAATATTCTAGTAGCAAAGCAGTTTATCCAGCTAAAGATGAAAAACTACTTTACATTCTGTACCATTTATCACTGACTGGTGATAAGTCAATTAATGCCTGCCATTTCTTTTGGCATCATGGAACAAAAGTAATGTTTTTTTAAAAAAGAAAGAAATTAATTGCAGCCTTGTCAAAAGATGTTATTATAATTGATGGTGATCATTTTCTTTGTTTTCCGAAGTTCAGTAGCTGATACAGCAAAGTCAGGAGTGGTATTTTAATGACATTACTCATGTCTTGGACTCCTGACACTGATGTACCAGCTTTAAATATTGGGATGAGTGGACAAATTTGCTGTTTTAGAAAAGAGAGAGAGAATTTTACAAAATAGCCAATAATTGGCAATAATTAGAAAACTAGTATTAGGCTGAAAAGAAAGCAAGAATCAGCAGTAAAACAATACCATATTTCATTTTACATGGATGTAATTGGAGATCACAAATAAAGTTATTGCTATAGAATTTGTGATTTTAGAGAACATAGAAGATTTCTTTTGAAGGAAAGATATGGGCATAGCTAAATTTAACAGAACAGTTTTGCCACAGTAAAGCTCAGACTGTTGTGTAGACTTTTGAGAACTGATCCAACCCTCGTTCCAGCAGGACCTCCTTACCATTATCACAGATCAATGGTATTCCATCAGATATGAAGAATTTCAAGCCTGTGGTATCCTATCCATCATACCCTAGAGCAGTAATCTCAGTCACGTGGGCCACCCACATGTCATCAACACATAAGGCTTTGCTGCTAAACAGCTCACAGCTTTCCAAACTCTACCTATCCTCTCCCCCAGATTTTGGATTCTTGTTACACTTCAAGCAGAAGAAATTTTTTGAATGATGTTCAGAGCTCTTTGTCTTTGTGGCTCCATCTTGGAGCTTATCACCGGTACTTTCCTGATTGTCTGCATTCCCCTTCAGGCCATACTTTCACCCTTTTTATCTGGAAAACAGCATTCTTATTGGTCATCATCATCATTCCCCCATGGGGACATGATCAAATCATCTATGGTTACCAAATTTTATCACCTCAACACTGAAACTGGCAGGGTGCAACATTTGGCAGAGAGATGTTGTTCTCTACACTCTCCTAATGTCCTGCCTCCAGGTAAAGATACTAGTTAATGGCCCATATGTGTAAACAGAGAGATTACCCTTCTGTAACTATAGTTCTTCAAGTAGTTCTTTGTGAATGTACACCACCTGCCCATCCTCCTCTATAGGATTTCAGAATAATACCTTGGAGGGAACACTCTAAAGTAAGAAGGCATTATCTCAGTCTTATGTTGCTATGGAATCATCAGAATTGTACTGGTTAGCAGAAGCTCCATTACTGAGGCATCGTAAAAGCATGCCAGATGATTAAGCAGCCAGGTTTTTAGTTTCTGCTTTATGGTTTTTGTAGTTTTATTGTTGTTGTGCTCTAAGATTGTTTTGTGGGATGCTGTGGGGTGGGTGGAGCACCCACTCCAAGCTCTAGAACTTTCCTACTTGAGTTACTACACAACACTAGAGTATATATAAATACATAGATGATCACTTGAAGAATTATAGTTATGGGTAAGTAAGGTATAAGTTTTTAGCAGGGCCTGTGAAATTCAAACTCTTTGATATGGATGGATTCATGTATATGGCATCCCAGTCACATGGGAGCTACTCATATGTAAAATAGTCACACAGGTGACAGAAGGCATAAAAGGTAAATACAAGCTGCAGTTCTCCAATCTTGGTCTTCCTTATTGGTATTTATCAGTAAGTTCTCCCTTATCTCAGGTTCGCAACTTTCTCCTGTCTTCCATCTCCTCAAAGGACATGCCACATGCTTGATAGACAATGCCAAAGAAATAACATCATTTGGAATACATTCAGCTACTACCAGTAACACAGACAAAACTAACACTATAGGACATAGAGTACAATAGTGAATGTTAAAATAAGCATCATAAAATCAAATTGAAAACCCAAAAAATGAAAAAGAGCATCTGTTTATGGCTTGGTCACGTTTCTTTCCTGATCTTGCTAGAGGCTGCTGGTCCTATATTCCTAAGCCTGCTCAGGCATTCTGTACTCTGCACAATTAGTCACATAGGAAGAACAGGGTCACATGCATCTGACATGATAATCACATGTTCTATCCACAGTTTAGAGGAAATTTAAAGCAGGGAATGTTTTCAAAACAAAGTAGACTGTCCCCTGGAATTCTGATGCATTGGTAAGTTTCCCTCCATTCTTCTGATCTTCCCCAACTACATAAGCAGCATGTGAGTTGGCTACAGACAAGGGATTCTTCATGTGGAGATCCAGAATCTCTCCAGATTACTCATGCGGACCATAGTACATTCAAATAGAGACCTATTTTGCCAGGAAAGCATGTATATCAACTAGTGGCAGCTCATCCCAGGTCAAATGATGGATGATGGTTTTGATAATTTATCTGGGAGTAAGATGATGGATTTTACATGACCCTCCAAAACAGATTATTGGCAATATTAGTGATTATCCACCTAATGCTATATAAGAACTGGGATTCTGACCTGGGTTAGCTATGATTTGGCATATGCCATCTATAATAATCTGCCCAAATTCTTTGATTTATCAAATTATTCTAGTCTCTTCCTGGAGTGGCATAAATAATTCTACAGGCTTGAAAGCATTAGGAGTTTGCTAAATTTGCTATTGTTGATTTTCAAATCAAAACGATCACAAGGTTTTTTCT